TAACCCTCAGAAGTCTGGAATTCAAAACATGGGCCTTTTGCTGTTTAATGTCACTTACTTTTTATATGCATTTAGATGACAAGAAAGCTTGAAGAGAAATCAACCAGGACAGACTTCAGATCTGTAGATTTGCCTTTGAAGTCCAACTTGTCTCACAGCCTAGAGTCTTGGGGAAGACCATGCATCACCATAATTCTCAGACATGTAATTAACACTCATTCCAGTTCTGAACGTTCCAGTGAAAACCAGTGGGATCTTTGTTTACAGAGCGATAACCCTGACAGCATTAAAAATGAGCACTAGAACAGTAAAGAGTAAAATAGAGAAAGATGTCTCTCTCACGGAATCAGGAATAGCAGAGATGCTTCTAATAACAGAACTTAATCATTTTAAATAACTTCAACATGAAGTGCACCCCACAGCACTATATAAATGCAATTTGAGCCATTTTGAATAATTGCTTATAAACTTGAAACAGGTAGCCAGCAAGTGTGCCAAAATTCAACAAGGAAAGAAGAATGTATAACAGAAAATATTTGGTTGACTTTGATCTCCAGTAAAATCCCAAAATTGCCGCATAATAGATGAAAAAAGGAGCAAAGCCAAACTAGATTCAGTTATACATTAACAGATTTTTAATCAAAACAGAGGAAGTCTGCGTACCATGACTTGCGACAGTTAAATCTCTCTGATGGTTTCCTCTCCATCAGAGGTGGCTATGCAGGTCCATGCTGATAGAATGGCTGGGTTGGGTGGTTGGCCCCATGTCAGCCTGCAGAGTTATCCATGGGGCCGTGAAGTGTCTGCCCTCTGTCCTGTCCATTTCAGCAGTTGTATCAGTCTCCCAGGTGGAAACAGGGATGACCAGCCTATCGGGTGTAAAACTGATCCTACCTTGAAAGGGACCTGGAATATATTGGAAAATGCCACATCGGCCTCCACACAGCCACTTGCCAGCTGTAGGATCATCTCTGATCCTACCTTCTTTGAGTCTTAATAAGATGAGTATTCTCATCTTATTAAGGGGACTTTGGGAGAATTAAACTACACAACAGAAATAAAACACCTCCAGAGACAGCCTCAGTGAATGTTGGTTTCCTTCTAGTTTTACAGAGGGCAGGATCCAGTGTCATATCAATAGCTGAGACTGACAGATTAAAAATCCAAGACAAACTGGACCCTTGTCTGTAATCCTAGCTATTCCTTTTTTCTTTTCTTTCTTGGTTTGAACTCAGGGTCTCATGCTTGCTAGGCAGGCGCTCTACCACTTTACCACTTGACCCACTTCGCCAGCCCTTTTTTGTGATTTTTTTTTTTTTTTTGAGATAGGATCTTTCAAACTATTTGCCAGGACTCTACTTGAACTGCAATCCTCCTGATCTCTGCCTCCTGAGTAGCTAGGATACAGGTGTGAGCCACCAGTGCCCAGAGTTTGTAGCTTCTTGAGAAGCTGAGATTGGAAGGATTGTGGTTTCAGGCCAGCCCATGAAGAAAAATTTATGAAAATCCATCTCAAAGGGGAAAAAAAAAAAAGCTGGACATAATGGCGCATATCTGCCATCCCAGCTATGACAGAAAGTGTAAATAGGAGAAATGGGTCCTGGCAGGGCTGGGTGAAAAGTGAGACCCTATCTCAAAAATAACCAGAGAAAAGAGGGCTGGAGGCAGGGACAAGTGGTGGAGCACTTGCGTGATATACCAGGACAAAATGTCATAGAACAAATATGCAAATATGGACCTTATCTTAGAGTATACAAAGAAAATCAACTAGGGGACAATTAACCTAATCTCAACTGTTTTTTTTTTAGAATAAAAATTCTTTCAGGGGCTTCAAATTCAGCATAAAGAGGTTCTTTAAAAGGAACATACAGGGCTATGGATCTAGCTTAGGGTAGAGTGCTGGATTTGATCCCCAGCACCACACACACACACACACACACACACGCACGCACGCACACACACGCACACGCGCACGCGCACACGCACGCACACACACGCACACGCACGCACGCACACACGCGCACACGCATACACGCACACACACGCACACGCACACACACACGCACACACACATCTGAAAGTACAATGCCAGTGGTATGATACGGAATGGGCTAATGGCTGGATGTTGCAAGCAGGAAGAATCTGCATAATACAATGATGCAGTTACCAAAAGCAAGATATGAATGAAATCGCTTTCCAAATAAGGTTTGCACCTCCTCAGGCTCTCCGGGGAGGGAATATTCTGTGTTTGTGTCTCTCAAGGTCTCTCACAATGCTTGGGGCCTCATCCTGATCTTCTCTCTTAGATGCACTGGTCCTCCAGAAGAGAGAGAGGGGTGCCAGGCTGTGCCTGGACGCAGCATAACAGCCTGGGCTCCTGCAGAAGGAAGCTCTTCCAGTATTTGGAAACTGATTAGGTGTCATTACCAGACAACTGTATGATTCTGTTTCTCACCAAGGTCAGGGAGGAAAAAAAGTAAATAGACACACAAAGAGCAAGTCCTGGTTCTGGAAAAATACACATGTTTTGACTTCACTGACATTTAAGCCATGCTGGGATAATGGCCAGTACACAATCAATATGCTTCGTGTTTATCACACAGGAGTCCTATATTTGACAAGACTGTAATCATGGGGCCAATGTGGTGCCTCATGCCTGTAATCCCAGTTAAGGGGAGGTACAGATAAGAGGATTGCCATCTGAGGCCAACCCCAGGCAAAAATGGAAGAGCTTATCTGAAAATAACTAAAGCATAAAAGGGCTAGGAGTGTGGATCAAGTGATAGAGCACCTGCCTAACAAACAAGATCCTGAGTTCAAACTCCAGTACCACCAAAATAAATAAATACATAAAATAAAATAAAAAAGCTTCATCAGTCCAGGCTGCTGTATACTTATTGAGTGATAAAAACTAATTATCTTTTCATAATGAAGTACTTATAATTTAAGTGATTCTTTTCTTCCCTCTCCATTAATACAGGGTATTGTGGATTTATAGCCTCATTCCACAAGCTCACATCGGGAAGGACTATAGAGTAGTCCTTTCATATACACTGGAACCTAATTTCTTTTAAAAAGTACGTATAGACTACATAGATAACATGCTTTTCAAATTGCTTACAGAAGCAAGATCACTGAGTCATGTTTACAAGGAACAGAATTAAAAGAACAATGACATAAGTAGCCAACAGCATTGGATCTGTGCAGAAAGACATTCCCAAAGCCCCCACAAATACACTCAAAATCTACTTTCTCATCTAAGATCAAATCTCATATTTGCCAAAGTGATTAATAACAAAGCCATTTTCCAGTTATGAGTATAGAAATGCAGCCACTTTTTTTCTAACGAAAGAAAGAACCTGGGGCGGGGAAGGGGGGGGAAGGGGGGAGAAATGACCCAAACATTGTATGCACGTATGAATAAAATAAAAATAAAAAATAAAAAAAAAAGAAAGAAAGAACCTATTTTTACCATTTCTAAAGTGACCAAAACAAACAAAATGGACTTTTAGGGAAGTGTTCCAAAAGCAAAAAAGGAAAGTGAGTGCATGTTAACAATGAAAGAAGTTGGGTACCTGAATTAATTTTGCCCCAATATATAAAACAAAATCAAAATACAGCATGTCTCATGAATTCAGAATTGCTGCTGAAACATGTGATTAAACATGGCAGCTGCTACTCTGCTTGTGCTGTTACAAATGCAGTGCTTGTGTGAACACTCCCGTGAATCCAGTGTGGAGGCATATTAAGGGTACACACCTCGTAAAGCAAGCATATTGCAGCTCTCTATTGTGAGAAGCCCTTGTAAGTAATTTCACATCTCAGCCCTTCTCTGGCCATACATTGTCCTAAGCAGAGCTTCCCACTTAAAGTCTTGAAAACACTTTCTTAGCCTGCCCTGAGTGTGGGATACCTTGAGTGGATTAAACCTGCTTAGTGCTCCCAACACTCATGTTTCCACTGGCTGGTGCTAACCACGAGGTTCAGGAAGGTAGAAAGATACCCAAATGCCCTCCCAAAACAACGGCCATGTTTGGGGAGGCAGCTGCTGTCTTCACTGCACATCACCATACTGGCTTGCTTCCAGCTCAAGTCACTTCCTTCCATGGGAAAACGGCAACTAATTGATCTCTCCTCCAATCTGCTGAGTGTCCTTCCTTTAAGACTCTATTTACCTGGATTCTATCTCCTCCTCTAATCAGTGCTCTGATTTAAAGCGTAAATGATGAATTTAGTTTGAGTGCCCTCAGCTGTTTGGAAGGGTTCTAGAAAATATCTCCAACCAAAAATTTTAAAAAGGAGGATGAGGGTGTAGTGCAAGGAATTAGTCTCACCATAGTGTAGCTATGCCTGTTACTATGAGTGGAAAAATCTAAGTGGTATAATTTAACTTGTGAAAGGGTCTATTTTTAAAAAGCCACACAAAGCTGGTAGCTTTCACCAATAATCCTAGCTACTCAGGAGGCACAGATTGAGAAGATAGATGTTTAAAGCAACCCCAGACAAAAAGGTTTTTTTGTTTTTTTTTTTTTTTCAAAAATAGCAAAAGGAAATCTTTATTGAAAGCATTAAATATCATTTTAATAAAAGGCAACCAGCATTGCCCTAATTTTCTGTAAAAATTACTGGTCTTCCTCCTACCTTCCCCTATTTTGAATGGTATCTTTTACTCCATGTTAATAGACAAAGATATTCATAGCACTTTTATTTATTTAGCCTTTTACACATGGCTGTTTCTTTTCCAATGCACTGAATTTTTAAAAAAGGCAACAAAATTGGACTCTGTAGTTTCAGATTTTCTTTCCTTTTTTAAGATTCCACCAGGATGTTTTTCCTCAGAAAAGGGTAACTCTAAGAACTTAAGGAACCAAAATGAAATGAATGATAAACCACAACAACTTGAAACTTGTAGCAATCAAGAGATCTATACATATATTAGTAGGTTCTCTGAACTTATACATTCAGAACAAAAAGTCAGAATAACTTTCTGAACATAAATGTAAAAATACAGCATATTTATTAACAGTAGGAAAATTCCTAAGCTTATAGAGACAATGTATTAAGTCTTACATAATAAACACAGCCACAAGTATTAGAAATTCACTGCCAGATATTCTGATGTATTATCCTGAAAACCTGTCCCATACATACCATTAACACAGTATGACATTTATTTTACAAGGAGAAAAAAGTGAGTCTCATCACAAAAAAAACCAGATTTACTAGTTTTCAGCTTTGATCAAGTTATAGAGATATGTTTCAGAGATAAACAAGATTCACCCCCAAAATAAGTCTTTATATATATAATCCATTATTAATACTCTTTCTGCCCTTACAATACAAAACACTTAGAAACTTTTGAACTCTAGAAATTTTGACTAGTTAAGCTATTTGCTTGAATATTTTCTAATTTTCCATTGAGAGTCACATTGATGTTTTCAGTTCATTGGTCCAGCATGGAAAGAGCAATTCTATTTCTTTTTCTTCTTCTTTGGTGGTTCATCCTCAGAGCTGCTATCTGTGCTGGTGCTGCTGCTACTGGAAGAGCTGGAGTCTGAGTCTGAATCAGAGGAGGAGGAAGAGGTCGTGGAGGAGGCTGAAGATGACGAACTGGAGGAGCTTTCATCTGTGTCACTGTCCTCTGAGGAGGATGAGGTAGATGTTTCTTCACTTTCTGATGAAGAATCACTGGCTGAACTATCACTGCTATTGCTACTGGAACTAGTTACACTCTTAGACCTTTTTTTCTTGGTCTTTCTTTCTACATTAGTTTCTCCAATGCTTTGCTGTAATAATAATCGATTTTCTTTTTCTTTTAAAGCTTTCTTTAGTTCTGCTGTTCTTGAAGGCCTATGTAGATATTTTCTTTTTCCTGTGCATTCATAAGTCCAATGTCCAAATTCCAAGCATTTCTGACATCTTACGTGTTGTTTATTTGCTTCAGCTTGTCTCCGGGCTATGAGCCAGTGCATGGGAGTCGCCATCTTGGGACGGCCGAGCCCAGACAAAAAGTTTGTGAGACTCCATCTCAACCAACAAAAGCATGGTGGCATGCACCTGCTATCCCAGCTACTCATTTATGAGGCATAAAATAGGATGATCATGATCCAAAACAGCCCAGGTATAAATGCAAGACCTTACCTGAAAAATACGTACAGGAAGCCAGGCACTGGTAGCTCTCGCCTGCAATCCTAGCTACTCAGGAGGCAGAGATCAGGAGGATTGTGGTCCAAAGCCAGCCCGGCCAAATAGTTCATGAGACCCTATCTCGAAAAAACTCATCACCAAAAAAGGACTGGTGGAGTGGCTCAAGGTGTAGGCCCTGAGTTCAAATTCCAGTACCACAAAAAAAGAAAAAATACCTACAGGAAAAAGTGATACAATGCCTGACTGTTAAGTGCAAGGTCCTGAGTTCAAACCCTAGTATAAGAAAAAAAAAAAAGCCACACACACTTTCTTAATTTTAAAAAACCAAAAGATATTTTACTACGTGGATGTTACCACATAAAATTAATAAACAAGAACAGCTTCTAACTACCCATTCCTATTCCATTCCACTCATAAGCATTGCAGTTTACTGGCGTCCAGCTGCAAATTTACAGCCCTGCCTGAGCTTAATGGAAGCCATCTCATTTCCAAAAACCTTTGGCATATCTCTCTCCACATAAATAAATAAATGAGGTGGTCTTTTTTCTCAAAAAAGAAAAAGAGGAAAAATAATCACACTATCTTAGATCAAATCAAGGACACAGGAAAAACTTTTGTTGTTTGTTTGATCTCACTATGTCATCCAGGCTGGTTTCAAACTCCTGAGTTCAAATGATCCTCCTGCCTCAGCCTTCCAAGTAGCTGGGACCATAGCACTCTCCTACCCTACTTAGAAGAAGACTGAACGAAAGAATGGAAGAGAAACGGGGATCAGTGTTAACACCATAGGCTCCAAGCCCAGGCATCTTGGGAAATTTCTGAACTCAGGGGCAAGGGCAGGTCTTGCAAGCTGCAAAGTGCTCAAACAATGTCCACAGTTGGTATAGGTGCAGGAAAACAAACTGATCTGTGGGAGCTAAAGGACACAGAGTGATGAGTTGAGTGTAGGAGTGAAGTCTTTCAGCTAGAAGTTTCTACATGGAAGGTGAGTAAAGTAGTGACTATGGAGACAGGTTTGGGAATCGTCTTTGTTAGGGTGATCCCGAGGCTTCCAGGGATAAGGGAATGTGTAAAGGAGACTGCATCCATGACAGCAGACTTTGCATTTCAAATCTTAAATCCTTCCACTCCTTTTTCCTCAGCTGTGTAGTCAGTTGTTGAGGTGTGTATTCCTTGTACACCTTTTCTCTGTCATTTTTGGTTTTGGTTCATGCACTCCCAAAGGGTATGAATGTGTGTAACTCACCTTGAACAGTAGACAGTTCAATGGCATTGGGAAGCTGACTCTTACTGTGCAAAGTCCTCATCTAAGCATGAGTTGGTTTGGCCTGGTGTGTGTGGAGGGGGAGACAACAAGGTGTGACTCCAGGCCACGAAGCAGAAAGCCAAGGGTGAGTGGAGAGGCAGGCTTACAGAGAAAACCAACAGCATTGTGAAGGTCCTAGGAGGTGATGGGGTCCAGGCAGAAGACCACCAGAGGGCAAAGAGACCAAGTTAGAAAGGGAGGACAGAGCTTTAAGGAGTAAGGGACAACTGTGTAACGTGCAGGTTTCCCCTCCCCTCCTCCTCTCCAGCTGTATACACCCGTTCAGGCAGAAGCCCTGACACCCTCTCTTCACTTCCCATCCTTTCTGCGGGCCTTGGAGCGGGCCTTGGGACGTGGACCTTCTGTGTATCTTAGTCCATCTTGTGCTGTGATCTCAGGATAGCACAGAATGGGAAGGTGACAATGAACAGAAATGTGTTGACTCACAGTTCTGGAGCTTGGGACGTCCAAGATCAAGGGCTGGCCCTTCATAACATGACAGAAGGCATCACACAGCAGAAGGGCAAAAAGGGAGGGTGGGAGTGAGCAAGAGGAGGGGGAACCACTCTCACCATAGCAGTTCATTCATAAGACCAGAGCCCTCCCGATCTAGCCGCTCTTTAAAGTCCCATCTCCCACTACAGTTCCAATGGCAATTAAATTCCAACATGAGTTTGGAAGGGGGCAAAACCTTCAAAACAGAGCACCAAGTATAATTTAGTGTTTTTCCTTAAAGTCAGTTGGGGTTCTGACCATCTGCAAAGAACCAAACTGCAAACATCTCAAAGGCAAGGAAGTCAGCATCCCACTCCTCATGGTCTATTCTGGAACCCTTGAGAAATTACCTCAGCCCTCCTGCTGCCTGAGCCTGGATTAAAGAGGCTTGGTTTACCATAGGACAAGGGCCCTGCCCTCACTACCACCCTCACCATACCTGCTTCTCACACCACTCTCTTCACTGTACCAGGCAACCACCTCACTCCCTGTTCCCAGTCATTCACTTCCTCATCCCTCATAGCCTGGTATCTTGTGGTCTCCTTTGACAATGTTTTCATCTTTCTTCGTTGGCTCAGCATTCTCTCAAAAAAACAGGCCTCACGTTACGATTCTAGATTCCTAGAATCTCTGCATTTTCTTGCAAGCAGGTCCTGTCTAACGTGTTCCAGAAATAAATCTGGTCATTCTAGTGTCTGTCCACACCTTTCAGTTCAGCTTATTATTCCACATTTCTGATAGTCTCTCTCTCTCTCTCTCTCTCTCTCTCTCTCTCTCTCTCACATCTTCCACCAGGAAATGTTACAGGCTGAAACAGTCATAGTTGTGATTAGAACTCATGTGACCATTAGCAAATAAAATATATGAACATATTCCTCAAATGAACAAATAAAAATGATTCACCTTCGTGTGGATGTGCAGTTTTAGGGTTGTAGTTTCCTCTTTTAGCATAAAATTAAAACCAGTTGCTGTGTTTCCAGAAAAGATTTTGCTTTGCCAAGCAAATTGGCAGAGAGAATGTTCTTGCAATAAAAGAACACAACATCCTAATATCTTTTCCTAGCATTACCCTATAAAAACAGTCTCTATTGCATTTCCAAGAGTTGGGGAATTATAACTTCCTCCGTCACACCAACAATGCTGTAGACAGAAAAAGAAAAGTCAATGCCTTTATTCATTTTTTGAATAAATTGATACGGTGCACATGTCAAGTGCTACCTGGGCTGGGCACTGTGAGAGCTACTGCTGTATGGAAGTGCAATCCCTGGCCCACAGGGCAGGCCTCAGACCACCATCCTCCTACTTCTGCCTCCCTCATAGCTGGGATGACAGATGCCCAATGCCACACCCAGTGTTAGTGAGATGAGATCTCACTAACTTTTTGCCCACATTGACCTCAAACCTGATTCTCCCAATCTCCACCTCCTGATTACCTGGATTATAGACATGAGCCACCACACCCGACCTGCAATGTTCCCTTTTCTATCTGATTTCTCAGTGCTTAACATGTGTCAAGAAATGTGTCATTTTTTTTAAATCATTGAATTAAAGAATGAAGATTTTATTCTCCACCTTGGCATGGCTAGTAGAATTCCTGCCACCAGTCTACACAAGGCAGTAGACAACTGAGATTCCAAGAAGACACCGCAATCAGTAACCAGAAAGGTGACTATGGTGGGAGACAGAGACCAAGTGAGAGATAGACAATTGGATGCCTCAGCAGGTAGAGCTAACACTGCTAAGAATTTCTTTCTTCTGTGGCTACAACATACACTTCAATTGATTGGAGCTCCTAACATGACTTGGTACAGTTGGCTTCAGGTGCATATAGCTTAGCAATGGGGGAGACAAGAAGATGGTTGTCTCAGGCTGGCAGAGGGGCTCAAATGGTAAGAGCACCTGCCCAGCAAGCATGAAGCCCTAAAATCCCAGTGCTGCCAAGAAAAAAAAATGGTTTGTCTCATCAAGACATAGCAATAAATTTTACCTAATGGGTTAAACATTTCAAAATCCAGGGTGTCAACACCATTCAAGGGGAGAAAGAACCATCTTAAACAAATGGTGTTAGGAAAACTATACATCCACATCCTACAGAATAAAATTATGGGCTAAGCTTGGTGACATATGCCTATACTCACAGCTACTCAGGAGGCAGAAATTAGGAGGATTTTCAAGTCAACCAGAACAAAAAGTAAGTGAGATCCTATCTCAACCAATGAGCTGGGCATGGTGCCTCACAACGGGCATAGGTAGGATGATCTTGGTCCAAGACCAGCCCCAGGCAAAAGTGCAAGATGCCATTCAAAAAGTAACTAAATCAAAAAAAGACTGTGGTGTGGGGAGTGCATGGCTGGAGTGGCAGAGTGCCTGCCTAGCAAGTGGTGAGGGCCTGACCACAGAACTGCCAACAAAACAAAACCACAGTGGCAAATCTTCATGACCTTAGATTGGACAATGGTTTCTTGTACATGACTCCAAAAGCACAGGCAAAAAACAATAAAAAGAGACAAACTGGGCTTCATTACAATTAAATTTTTAAGCATGAAGGATATTGTCAACAGAATGAAAAGATAACCCACAGAATCAGAGAAAATATTTTCAGAGTATATCTGATAAGGGGTTAATATACAGATTACATATATAAAATTACTTCCTACAACTCAACAACAAAAAGACATGCAATTCAATTTTAGAATGAGCAAAAGATATGAACAGACACTTCTGCAAAGAAAATATCCAGTGACCAATAAGCACATGGAAAGATATCAACCAGTCATGAGGGAAATGCAAACCAAACCCACAGTGTCATATCATTTCACATCTAGTAAGATGGCTGAATAATTGTAAATGGAAAATGACAGGTATTGGTTAGAACGTGGAGAAACTGGAATGTTTTCACATTGCTAATGGGAATAAAATATAATATGGTCACTGTGAAAAATAGACTAGCATCTCCTCAGAAAGTTACCACATGATCCAACAGTTCTATATGAAATGCCATAGAAAGGGTGGCTTCAACAAGAATCATTTACTTCTCACAGT